AAAGTGATAGGTCTCCCATGTTGATTTACACTTTTTTCATATTTCTTCTGTGGAACATAAGAGAAGTTTAGCATGTTATTGAAGTTCATGCTGCTATTTTCAGTAAAATGGAAGTGCAACTAATATACAACCAGAAGGGGTAAATGCAGATGGTGGCAGACCTCAACGCCATGTTCGCACTCCTGCCTATCTCAAGGTCTACGATCTCACAGCTGCACAATGTACACTCACCTAATGTATTATTAGGAACACCATACTAATACTGTGTTTGACCCCCTTTCGCCTTCAGGACTGCCTTAATTCTACATGGCATTGATTCAAACAAGGTGCTGAAAGCATTCTTTAGAAACGTTGGCCCATATAGATAGGATAACATCTTGCAGTTGATGGTGATTTGTGGGATGCACATACAGGGCACGAAGCTCCCGTTTCACCACATCCCAAAGATGCTCTATTGGGTTGAGAGCTGGTGACTGTGGTGGCCATTCACAGTACAGTGAACTCATTGTCATTTTCAAGAAACCAATTTGAAATGATTCAAGCTTTGTGACATGGTGCATTATCCTGCTGGAAGTAGCAATCAGAGGATGGGTACATGGTGGCTATAAAGGGATAAACATGGTCACAAACAATGTTCAGGTAGGCTGTGGCATTTAAACGATGCCCAATTAGCATTAAGGGGCCTAAAGTGTGCCATGAAAACATCCCCCACACCATTGCACCACCACCACCAGCCTGCACAATGGTAAGGCATGATGGATCCATGTTCTTGTAACGACCGTAAATAATTGTTAAATTTGTTGTTTTTTTTTGTTGATTGTACATAATCTGTACTAATATAATCTCAACAGTATAAATGTAGAAAGCCTCATAAAATATGTGTACTGTTGGGGGCGCTGTGGGTTGAGAAGACCGGTTTGAAAAAGAGAGAGAAGAAGTGTAAAAAAGTGCAGTTCATGCATGTTGTTGTTCACGTAAAAATTGAGCTCAAAAATCTGTCACAGAAACAAAAGAGAAAACAACCGGAGCAAATAAATCTACAGAAAAGAACTGATTGTCGTCGTTATTGTCCAAGGGGGCAACATTCTCATTCTGTTTATGCCAAATTCTGACTCTACCATCTGAATGTCTCAACAGAAATTAGACTCATCAGACCAGGCAACATTTTTCCAATCTTCAATTGTCAAATTTTGGTGATCTCTTGCAAATTGTAGCTTCTTTTTCCTATTTGTAGTGGAGATGAGTGGTACCCGGTGGGGTCTTCTGCTGTTGTAGCCCATCCACCTCAAGTTTGTGCCTGTTGTGGCTTCACAAATGCTTTGCTGAATACCTCGGTTGTAACGAGTGGTTATTTCAGTCAAATTTGCTCTTCTATCAGCTTGAATCAGTCAGCCCATTCTCCTCTGACCTCTAGCATCAACAAGGCATTTTCACCCACGGGACTGCCGCATACTGGATGTTTTTCCTTTTCACAACATTCTTTGAAAACCCTAGAAATGGTTGTGTGTGAAAATCCCAGTACCTGAGCAGATTGTGAAATATTCAGACCGGCTTGTCTGGCACCAACAACCATTCCATGCTAAAAAAATAGCTTAAATCACCCTTTTTCCCCATTCTGACATTCAGTTTGGAGTTCAGGAGATTGTCTTAACCGGGACCACACCCCTAAATGCATTGAAGCAACTGCCATGTGATTGTTTGATTAGATAATTGCATTCATGAGAAATTGAACAGGTGTTCCTAATAATCCTTTAGGTGAGTGTAAACCAATCAGACAGCCAATGATATCTTATGCTGCAGAGGTGCCACGGAGAGGAAATCCATCAGATGCTGCCAGGATTTCTCCCTCCCTCTCTGACAGAGCCTCTAGTCCCGTGAGTCAGTATTTCTGGAACTTGGTAGATGAGTGGTCGTCGGCTGCTTATAATAGAGAGCATTTCTATGAAAGCCATCAGTT